ACATGGAAATGCATTCCAACACTGAAAGTAAGAAAAATAGGCAGCAAACTTACCAATGCTACTGTATTTCCCAAAATTAGGCAAAAGCCCCCGATCTTTGAGAAACGCATACGCGCTCCCAACGAGTCTCAGGTCATCTGCGTTCAGGCACGTGTCCAACACCTCCCAATCCCTCTGCAATCCCATAAAACCCAACTCGCCACTTGCTGCTCGAGCTGGCTCAGTAGAGGCAATTTCGAGCTCTAAAGAGACGTCTGTGAGGATGCGAAGGGCCCGAGCGAGATCCTTCCTATTAACTGCTTCTTCGTATTCTTGCCACTCCCGAATAGCTCGGGCTCTGGTGTGTTCTCCATGGATTTTTCTGCTTGAAAAATGTAGGGCTGGTGAGAAAGGCAGGGATCGAGCGGCGGGCGAAGCAGGTAACAGAATTGGGAAGTGAAAGAGAGGAAACGAGGATAATCTCGCCATTGGAGCTCTTAATTTTAACTGAATCGCTTGGCTTAACCAACAAGTCCCATCGTTTCCTTGCAATAAATCTAACGTACACTCCCCCGGATTGTATTTTTTCTATTTAAATCTTTATCTATGACAATTTAATCCAAACATTTAGATAATTGCTATATAATCTTAATTTTGACTTACTTTGCAAAACGAATTTCATTTATGTGGGATATTCAAAAAATATCAGCGTGTTCGGTTGCTTATATTCATGTTAATCTAGGATACATTTTCAAAATTTTAATTGAGGTGGATTTTTTAATTTTTTTTCCTAACTTATTAATTTCAAATATGAGTCATGTCATCGCCACATAAGTTTTCAGTCACAAAAGTTCGCCACTCATCAAACTGAAAATTCAACGTGGATATAAGCAGCGGGACACGTTGGCATTTTTCGAATCTACGACGTAGATTAAGTTCGTTTTGCAAAAAGTAAGTCAAAGGCATAATTACATTGCAATTATTCAAAAGTTTGAATTAAATTGCCAAACGCGAAAAGATAAAGGTTCAAATAGCAATTAACCTTTTTTTATTCAATTTTATCAAGGTCTCGAGTTCGAGTCCTTGTGTAATGCAGAAAATCCTTGTTGAGATACTCACCCACCACTGTCAGGTGTACGACCAGGGTCGACCAACGGATCCGTCGGATCATAACAGTAACTGACTAAAA